CTCTCTCTCTCTCTCTCGTATATGTGTGTCAGATATATAAATCTATAATCCAGCGGCCACATTATATCTCCGCATCAAATATATGCAAGGTTATTATCATGAAGCATTACTGATTAGAGAAATATCGAGATGGTTCTGTATCATATTCCAATTAGCTTCGTGTGGACACGAATGGCTGTGGTATTGATTATGGCAAATTACAAGCCGCACTACGATCATTAGTAGTTCAGAATTGTAGATCTTACGTTACGCTCATAATAATTCGATAAAGCCTTGGAAAATAAAAAAAGTAATGTCGCTTAAAGTACCAATGTGATAAAGTACCAATGTGTTATATTTAAATAATAATAACAATATATAGGCTGCTGCGAAAAGTATTTTAATTTAAAAATACTTTAAAAATTATCAGATACACTAAACAAGTATATAGCATAATGTTTACAGCATGATAATGATGAATACATAATGATGAATGATTCTAGTGTCAAAGTGCATGACTGAATTATGCAAATTGTCGCAATTTAATAATCTATAAATAAGTGCGCGCTTCGATGATTCTGATGTTGAAAATAGCGGAAAGATTCTTCGAGACCTTTAATAAATACATAACGTATCGAATGACGGACGTATCATCAAATAACAAGTTCAACGTGAAAGAGCAAAGTGTCGCTTGAACTCGATTGATCAGCACTCATTGGACTAACACGTTTCACATCTCGTAATTCCTTTTTCTCACGAAGATACATTTCCGCACGGCGTATTACGATAATCTAAACGGAATGTTGATTTATTCGAGGTCGCCGTGCCGTTTACGCTATCGTATCGTATCGATACAGACGTAATTTTCCCATCCAACGATATAGGTCATGCCACGCGTGAATACGTGTTAACGTCGCTTCCACGTCACGAATGAAAAGGGCAACGATGGGACATATAAACGTAGCGCCCGTCGCCGCTCCTTCCAACGAGCGTATTTTATCGGCTGTCTTTACGAGCCCTGGCACGGCAACGTTACATCAAACGATATATACACCCGAAAATGGCGGCTACGGTTAATGCGTTAGCCGGTTGTCAGTTGTTCGAATAATGGATTGCCGTTAAAGTATCTAGATTAAAGAGGAAGGCACGATACGACTTTCCACTCGTCGTCGTTAAGTCATTAAGAAAAGAAAATTATTCCCCGCGTTATTGTAGGATCGTCCTAGACAATCGAGGTCAGAAGCCGCCGAGTGGTATATAGCCGCGAATGTGCGAGCTGTGTATTGTGTACCATCCAAGAAATGTTGTTAGTGAATGAAATTACGGGATTAGTGAATTAAAAAGTACGCGAAAAGTACGGCTGCTATTAATCGATGCTCTTTTTTTAAAAGTATCGTTCGGTACCGTTCTCTTTCTCTCGCGGCGATCGGCTTTCTTGGAAACAACATTTTTTTGGGACCGCGCCAACTTGATTCTAAATTCGCGATTTACTTACGGAGAACGCTTCGTTGGAAAAGGGAGATGGAATAAGGAAGAGAGGAAAGTCGTCGAATTTTTAGCGTCTCATAAAAATATCGAGCGTCAAGTCTCGCGGAAAACGTTTGAAAGACCGTGAAAAATCGATGACGAATGAAACTTTGATCCCGCACGTCTCATTCAGCACGTTCACGTGGCAGTGCATTGTAAACACGTGCGTATGCCGTACGTAAACCATTATACGGCTACAACGATGGCGATGGCTGTTTCACTGGGTGAAGCAGTCGTATAAGCCGGAGTACGGAGTTCAACGACCGGTATAAATTAAAGCGGCGCTCGGATTTCAATGCCACGGCCTTGCTCAAGGCCGTCGCACTCGTAGAAAATCAACGGTACATTTGCGCCGGCATTCGTAACAATAAATTGTGCGAATACGACGTGAGCGATCGGGTACAACCATCCGCAAAACCAACATCATAAAATCGGACGTTCGTTGGACTTTTCCTTATGATAATTCGCTCGTTAAGCTTCTGGATTTCTAGAAAAAAGTTGTGCGATGATACGTTCGCAACTATACTGTTCCTCGGATAATGGGAATTCTTTTGGAATTCTCTTTTGTCAGAGATATCTGTTAGAGATATCACTTCTTCTTCTTTCCCTAAAGATAAAATTTCGCTTTGCGATAAGAAGGAAAAATAAGATTAAGATTTGTATTTATTATTCGAACGTGTATATCTTGTGGGTTTCCTTTGAGGAAATCGCTTAGATTTCGTTGATATGTCGGGATAAGTGATAAATTCTTATCATCGGTAAATTATTTCCAGCGCACTAAATACGTGCATTTAATTTCTAAAATTATAATATGCATGCACGATTGATTCAATTATATCACTTAGCTGTTCCTGCATTACAAGAATTACTTCGTTGTCGTTATTATTAACGCGCATAACGATTACTGTGATAACGCGACTTGATAAACATTTTAATTGCGGAATTGTTAAGAAAACCGGCAACCAGCTCACTTCAGGATGCTCATATGCAATTAATTTATAAACAAAATATTCACAATTCGATGGAGCATGTGCATCACACACTTGTACCATAGATATACTTTTATCTCATTTCGAATATATGAAATATTTCGCACGGAAATAATATTTCGCAAAATTATCGCGATGTGTTCAACAAACACTTTCTTCAGCTTTTTGTAAACATTTACGATGCATTTGTAACGAAATCATTTTCCAATGAGCGATGTATTTATTCATCACGCGCGAGATTCACGAGTCCATCCCCGTTCTCCATACGCAATTTTTTTTTCTACGAACAACACGTAAATGTATTCCGTTGCACGATAGGGTACGGTAAATTAGCGTTATTACTCTAACGTGCATTATTACGTAAACAAATGACACACACATTGCTTCCAGGTAATTAATTAATTTACTCAAATCGCCGCGAGCGAACTTCGACGCAGCGATGGTCCGCTGATATCGATATGAGCCTGTGTGCAAAACAGTTGTCACACTGTACTCGGCAATAGGAACAAAATCGATCGCTATTGAATAGACTACTAACTGTAGAATTAGATTCCACAAAATACGAATGCGTTATGACCAATTGGGAACTGTTTGAATTATTCGCGAGGCGATTTTTATGTAATTTTGAAACTGACTAGAAAATCGGTTTAAAATCGACGTATTTTATCGTGGCGTCGGCAACGTCATCGTTTTTATTGATCTTACTTTTTTACACACACACACACACACACACACACACGCACACGCACACGCACACATACTTCGCACGTCAATCGTCACCCCTCGAGACAACGTCGCAGCGACGCTTGTGTCGCACATCGACGGGCACGGGCTTATGTAAGGGATACAGCAAATTCATAGGTTCGCGCCCATTCATATGGTCTTTCCCGATTTTAATTTTTAGCATACTGGCCTCGAGGCGACAGCGCAGCGTCGTCGCTCTTCGGCGGGATGCCGGGTTATGGCCTGGGGGCCCACCATTTGCCCTCGGCTTACGCTATTCTGGGCCGGGGGGTTCAGCGCCTGGCTTCGGGGGCCACACACCAGCCTCGGCACCACCCCCGTCTCCGTATCCTCACAGCAGCCTCGGTACGCTCAGCGTGGCCGCCAGTCAAGCTGCGAGTCTGGGTAAGTAAATTTTCCGTCCACCCTGCTCCGTCATCCCCCCGCCTCTCTCGTCCTCGTCCTGTCTTTCCTCCCTCATGCGCTTCTCAAGCGTCCTATCGATTATCATGACTACACACGTTATTGGAACTAACGTCGCGCCTCTTCTTGGAACCGTGTCTACTGTAAGATCGCTCTTGCGATAATTTAAGATCTAGTTACTTGGCTAACATCGAAACGTGACGTGTAAATGTATGGCGATATGCCGTCATGTCTTTGTAGCGACCTAATCTAAATTATTTCTTAAAAATATTACAGTTATCAAAAACATTTCTTAAAAAATTCGGTAAACGTTGCGTATCGCATAATTACACGTAATTGATATATGTCGCAATTTTAATTTTCTAAGCGCTAAACTAAAATTATTTAGTTTTTGCATAAAATTTTGCTCGACAGGCATTCTATTTTCTTGTGATCAGATCACAAGGAGATTAGAGATATTTGCTCGTCACAAGACCATTTTGACGATCACTTTGGAAACTTACAACAATTCCTTTAAAAAGTTCCTTTAAAAAGTTGGTTTTTTTTTTGTTTCTCCTTGACTCATCCAGAGACAAACAATCGAGCGAAGTTGAGATCGCGTTTCGAGATCGAATTTTATAGATCAAGCTCTGTCGTTCGTGTTACAGGCATCAATCCAGCAGCCAGTGCATGGTGGACAATGGCCTCTCATCTGGCGGCGCAAGACTACCTCGCGAGGCTACAAGGAGCGGCAGGACTCCCAGGATTTCCGCCCGGTGCCGAAAGCCTCCTGCCACCCTATCCCGCCTCTCTACTTAATCCCCCGTCCCTCTCGTCCCACAAGTCCAGTAAGTGTAAGTAACAACGATCGACAATGTTGCATGGCGCAATGCTCGAGAGAAACGTCCGCCTCCGTATGCTTAATCCTCGATCGACCGAGTCCTTTCGAAACGATAATATCGCTTGGAACAGCCGGACAATATATTTTTAATCGTTTTAAGCCTGACAACGCGAGAGGCGACTTTTTTTTCTTCAAGATGTTTTTAAAATTATTTTTAAAATTTATCCAAGTTGCATATCTACATAGCTTTACGTGCCTTATCGCTACAATTCCTTTCTATTTTGCGAGCAAAACGTTTGACTTTTATATATTTTTATATATATTTTTTATTTACATTGAAAGTTATGATATAATCTCTTAAAGTTTCTCTCTCAAGTTTCTCGAGTTAAACGAGATTACTTGTTAATGAGATAGAAACTTGAGATCCTTGAAACTTTATGAACCTACTTTCGTAACAATCGGCAGTCGGCGTTTGTGGATTGAGATGAACGCGGACGTTTTTCCGACGGTAATCGTAGATTATCGAAGGTCGTAGACGTACAATTATGCTTATGTTTTTGTGACCGGACAGCTAAGTCAAGCAAGAGTCACAAGACGCCAGCTAGCAGTAGTAGCTCAACGACGCCAAGTATGACGAGCAGCAGCCTGCCGGTGTCCACTCAAGCACCAGTGACGTCTTCTCATCACAGCACCCCGGTCAGCAGCACGCCAAATTCGCAATCGAATGTCGTCAGGTAAGAACTATTCGTTTTACATATTTTAAATACACGACACGGTTGCAGATTGGTCTTATTTAATAATTCGCTAAAAAATTGTATTTTCACGCTATCGTTTCCCCTGATAGTTCTGCGAAAGAAGGAAGGTGAATATTGCCTCAATTACGCGAAATATTTTCCATTAGCTTCTTTACAATACGCTTTATTGAATTGAAATAGTACGTGTAAATATAAGTTTTTCAGTCTCAACAAAATAAAATACGCGAATTTCTCTCAATTAATTTTATCTATTTTAATTTCTGAAATGAATAAGTAATTTCATGCCAATGTCTCCTTTAGTGATCCTAGCAGTATATTGGGAGGTGTGCGCCTACCTCCCGATACGGAGATTATCAAGTATACGTCGAGTATAGTCGGTCCGAAGGTTCCTGGGACGACGAACCGTGGTAGGAAGAAGACAATATCCTTGGACACTCCCAGCGTCAGCGTACACCCGCCACCCGTCCCTGCTCTTAGCGCCCATCAGACGAACACGACGTCATCCTCGTCGCTAATGATGGAACCGAGGAAGTACAATCGCACGGGGGTATGTTCAGTCGCCGCCCATGTTGAGTGCTATTCTGAAATACATAAGCATAAAATTGTAAGGAATTAAAGTCGACTTATCTATTAATTATATTTTTATTTCGATAAATATTTAATGATTTTAATACTTAATTGTGGAATTGAATCTTCTTTGTTAATTTTATAGATCCACCAAGGATCTGTACAATCATATGCGTGATATATTACGTAATCGTGTGTGTTTTGTCTTTCCTCAGACCGACTCGAACGAGTACAGAGACTCGGTAGATCGAGTAGAGGTAATCAAACTGCCGGCCCATTCAACGAACGGCTCCGTTCTGTCGGCGCCACCGACGTACACTAGCAGCAGCAGCAGCAGTAACAATAGCAGCAACGCGAACAACAACATCAACGATTCGGATGCGCCCCTAAATCTCTCCCTGAAGCCCGCCACGACGAGCAGTAGCTCGCCGATTTCTGGTAGTCAGCCGCTCAGTCAACTCAGTAATTTAAGCCAATCGTTACTTGCCTCCGATCGAACATGTAAGTATAACAAATGCACATAGTGTTTCCAGATATTCTCGTTTTTTAAAGTCACTTTTTGGCATAAAAGCGTCGTGTATTCTTATTTAACGGAGGAAGGGAAGACTGTTCTTGAAGGGAAGACTTAGAGAATTACGAGCATTTTCACAAACGTTCGACGCAGTTCATCATCATTTCATATTTTATCAATATCTTTTAAAGTCGATCTTTCAGAAAATCATTCCAAAGTTTACATACGATTTATTCGAAGTAAAAAAAATTAGAAAAATTGTACAGATTAATTATCAAATTAGAAAATACTAATGGTCTTCTATACTGGTTAGAATTTGTTAAAATTTTTTTATTTTTAAGAAATAAATTTTTCTGAAGATATATAGTTAGAGGTAATAAAAATTTTATGCACTATCGCAGCGAGACGAAAGCCCGGACCAAAAACCGAGAAGAGTGCCACAGAATTCGGTACCGGTACCGGCATCGCCTAGTCCCTCCTTGGCGCAGCTCTTTGCCGCCGCGGACTCGCCACAGCGGCCGAGTAGCGGTAGCGAGGAGAGTGAGAGTGCGAGCACTGCCACCCATCACAAGGACGGTAGGCCACGAAATCTCGGCCGCGGTGTATCGAAGCCTAAGAAAAACACGGTCGCCTCGCTGCTAGCCCAAAGCAGAGCTCTGGGGATTAAACCTACACCGACTTTAGATCCAAGTGTGCCATTGTCTCATCAAGTATCGTTACTGAGATCGAATATACTGGCGGCTCAATTGCACGCTTCCGTCGCTACTGGCCAGGGTGATGATAAGAACCAGGTAAAATACAGTTACCAAGCTTCAACGTGAAGAACTTTTATTGTACAACTATTAATTTTAACGTTATTATTACATTGTATACTTCGATAAAACGTTATTCTTTTATTCTGACTTCTGTAATTCTCTAATTTCCATATATCTTCACAATTATCTTTTGTTAAAGTACTATCACTTGCTAACGAAGATACAGAAGAAGAAGCGACCTCGACCAATTCGTGCTTCGTGGGCGAGGAGCCATGTTCGTTTTTCTTTTTTTTTTTTACTTATGATTTCGCACTAAAACCATTCTCCCTATATAGAAATCTTTGCAGGACAAGATGAAAAACAAGTTGCTGGAGGCCTCGGGAGAGGAGAGTAACATGGACGTGACCAGCGAGAGCGGTAGTAACACCGACGTTGTCACGGATACCGATGACGACAACGCGGAAGGCACACCCAGCGCGAAGAGGAGAAAACTCAGGCCCAGCGAAAGAGATCTTCAAATGCCCCTGGAACGGGGTTGGAAGCGTGAAACGGTTATCAAGGGACTAGGAAAGACAGGAGTGATAAAAGGCGACGTGTCGTATTACAGCCCCTGCGGGAAAACTTTTAGGAGCAGTCCTGATCTGGTGAAGGTTGGTGGCAACATATTACAATCGGTAATGATTAGTGTATGTTATAAAAAATAATTCGCATGTACTTACGCAAAATTTTTTTATTGTCACTTTTACTATCGTAATATCTACGCCGCGATAATGTAATAAGAAAATAACATAATTATATCGAGATACAAATGAAATTTAGATTAATTAGATCATTAAGGTCTCTTTCAAGAAGAGATTGCTTTCTAATTTCAGTTTTTGGAACATCAGAATCCTGCCGAGCTAACAACCGCCAATTTTTCGTTTTCTTCCCGTCCGTTGGTCGGAGAATTTCTACAACCGACGATGGGTCTAGCAGAGGCTGAATTTGTCAGACTCGGTGCACAGGAAGTAGCGCGAAGACTGGAAGAACTCAGAGCAGCCGGTGGCTTCAGAGATGCACGGACGAACAATCAGTACGAAAGAGACAAGCTGGCTTATGCGAAGAAGCTTGCGAAGGAAGAAGCGCAACGACACAAAGAACAGGCTAGGTAAGGCATTCTATTATTTAAATATGTTGATTTGATTAAATCGATAGCTTGAAGAGTATTAAATAATGATGTTGAAGTATGTTAAAAGATGACAACCAGCTAATGTGCACGAGTTATTTTATTCGTTGAGATCACTTCATAAAATTTAGCAAATTAATGATTATCGATAATAGTCAAATAAATCATAAAGTTTATTGAAGTGTTAATCTTGTCGTTATATGAGAACGGTTAGGCATTTATTCGCTTACTGCAGAATTTATTACTTAATCTAAAGTTTCGCAATTGCAACATGTTGGGATTTAATTAACACGTATTTATCATTCCGCGTTGTAAGATTATTGCACGCGCGTAATCATAAATGTTCGAGCGAAAATTTAAAAACAAACGTCGCCATATCAATTCGAATTCCCTCGAGTGTTCGTAAAATTTATAGATAGGTCGTTATGGGTGACCCTTGATTAATGATTTGTTCGAGCTTTTTTACTGTTCGGGGATTATGTGAATTTAATGATACTCTCATTGTAGGCTTATTAAGGAGCAAGAGAAGACGGAACGGCAGGAGGCCGTGAGACGGGAACGGGAGATCAGAAATCAACAGCTACTCGAGGTAAGTTGACGTCTATCATCGAGTTTCCTTCACGTTTGTTTCGTGTCTCGATCTCGTTGTTTCATTCACACAAAAAACTATTCTCTTATTCTATTTGGGATACCTACGTTTTTTTGTATTTTGTCCACCTGTCGTGCGTGTCGCATGCTCTCTGTGTGTGCCGTATTTATATATATATACATATATATATTATCTCCGTATATATATATACATCTGTCTATATATACATATTATGAGACTTTTTTTAATGAATATTCTTGTATAGAAAAACTCTTTTTCTTATACTATATATATACGTCCAATGAACCTCTTACAACCTCTAATGTCCCAGAATACACGAGACACCCATAGCCAACCAACAACCGCTAGCGATAGTGACAGGAGAACCCAGCATGTGTCCTTCCACCTACCCCCCCCCCCTCTTCCCCTTTCGTCTTGTTTAATTTTCATCTCTTTTAATTTCGCCTAATCATTGTGTTATCTCCAAGTGTACAATTCGATGAAAACGTTGAACGCGTAATCGCGATTTTGTTTTCTTCATTTAAAAGAACGCAACTATTATCGAAAGAAAAAAACATGAAATGAAAAATAACTGCCCTGGCATTCGACTGCTTTAACTCTGACTGAGAGCAATGAAAGTTTTATTCCTTTTACGATCGACTTTTTGATAATGTACGCTGAAATACACGCGCAAAATATTTCGTTATTTTTTTAAACGCGAACGCGGAAATCGTGAATAAATTAAAATATGGATGCCAGTATTGGTTTAAATTTCAAAATTCTTTGCGCGATATTTGATATTTCGTACACCGAGATCTGTTTTGAAACAATTTTATGTATTCTCAATACTGTTGACATTTTTACGTACATTGTAAACAAAAATATCGATACATTTTTGCTTCTCATCATTTTTGCCGATATTGTCGATAATGAGAACAAATAATTGCATTTCATTAAGAATTGTTTTTTTTGAGAAAAGTCAATTATGTGATGGGCAGAAAAACATTCAATTATCGAAACGATGAACGAAATCATTCCATCTGACGTTTAATTTCTTTTATCAAAAATTTTGGGTATCCTCCTCTTTTATGTTTTGATCATAAAGATAAAATATACAATCATTTGCCGCTTTTTTAACCGTGTGAAACATTTATCATTATTTCTGATAGATATGATACATCATAATTTGTAATACAAAATTTAAAAGAAATAAAATATAAAATGCGCATTAAATAAAGAATCACATTGTCCAAAAACATTTCCTATTCGCTATCGATTTCCATCGGATTTTATAGTTAAAAACAAGTTTTTTAATTTTGATTAACGATTTCGTAAGGAATGCACATACTTCGTAAGGGATGATACTTGAATGTGCGTTTCTATAAAATCAACGTTATTCTGAAAATTTCTCTACGCGAGAGAAAATCACGACGAAATAGAGGCGCGGCGATTGTAGAAATTTCAAAAGTCCACCATTGTGATAGTCCTCCAAACTACCCCATCGGAATCCTTCGCGCAAGCCAGATTATCACCCACTGTCCCCCTCAATCACTGTCACTCGTTCGTTCATGTTCCTCGCATTCACACACGCATTCCACATCCACACGCACATCACTGGCCCGAACATACACACACAGCCCGTGCAATTTGAAAGAATAGAAGGAGACGTCAGACGACACAATAGTGTAGTAAATGTAGCTACACGTGGGCTCACATAGTAGTGGAAAATGCGAAATAGGGATGCCCAGATCGTATATAACCGATCCTAATCGATTTGCTTTTCCCTGGGAAACGTAGAGAACGAATATGAGACGAATGTACATTATCGGTGCATATTACGTTTAGACGAGCTAACTGAGATTGGCATTAACTTAGCAGAGTATCGATGTGATCGGAGCGTTATTTTGTTATGTGTGTAATGTGTTATTACATTGTGTTCAACATTACGAGAAATAGTCGTGAAAATTATTTAACACCTTATTTAATATCTTCGTAAATATCAACAAGTATGTCGCGTTTCTTTTTCTTTTTTTAAAGTGGTAAACCGCTTTTATGTGCTTATAGTATCTATCTAAAATTGGCTTTATCGGAATTACGTATATTTTAGTCTTTCGAAAGGTGGTATGCGGAGTTCATAAAACCGCGATTATTAAAGTCGTTAATACGAGCAATAGTAAATGTAATGCGATTGTAGAATTAATTTGCCGATAGTATCGCTTTATTTTGGATTTATTTATCGTAAAAAATATTAAATAGCGATACATCCTACATCTTACGTCCTAATTCCGAGAAAAGAATATTCTTTAGGATAATGTATGTTGCGTGAGAGATATAATTCATTATTATATAATTTGCTGTAACATTTTATTACACGATCAGTTTGCGTAAAGTGATCTCCGCGTATCGCCCTGATTTAAACCCCCCCCCCATCCCCCAGTCGATCGTGAATGACCGGTCGCACGTGGTTGTTCGAACGACCACCCTCCTCCCTTCTTAACGCGATCGATTATATATTGGGCATCCCTGTAAACCACCACCCACGCAGGGTCGAAAGCGGCTCGCGTTCACGATCAAGCAGAAAATGAAGATCATCCAAGAGATCGAGCGCGGCAAGAGCAAGAGCGACGTGGCTCGCGAACTGGGTCTGGCGAGCAGTACGGTCGCCACCATCTGGAAGAATCGCGAAAGCATCGCCGAGAGCTGGCGCAACCGGGACATGATGCAGCAGACGGACGTCGAGGACGTGCCGTCGAAGAAGCCGCCGTCGATGTCGTCCCTCTCATCGACCACGGCGGCGCTTTGCACGCCAGTAGCGATGACGACGACGACGACGATGACGACGATGACGACCGCAATCACGACAACGCCACCGTCTCTAGCCTCTGGTGTGGTCGTGCCACCTCCTCAAGTGCAGGTGGTACCGCCGGTACTGCCGCCGCCACCACCTTACTCCACCTTGACCCTGCCGCCGGCGTCGGCGGGCCTCGTGCCGTCCCCGCAGCCGACGACGCCGATCTCCTCCTCGTCGAGCCTGTCGTCGACCACCATGTCGACCGGCACGACTACCACGACCATGCCACCGGACAATACCCAGCAGGCACAGACCCAGACGCAGAACCAGGAACTTCTGGAGGTAAGATGTCGTATGACGCATCCCGAACCTGCCCTTCATCCGAATCACCTTATTCCCCCCCCCCCGGTCTTGCCCGCCTGAACCATCGTTGACCCGTTTCGTGCTCCATTGACTCTCACGTAATATCTCGAAGCTCGATATCCC